ATATTATCCCTTACCCTAAAACACGTTGGCTTGTAACCTTGGAAATTATTATAAATGCTTTTGGACTCCAAAGCCATTGAAATGTTGGTGTCAGGCTTTAACACCAGACTACATGATAGGCCTCCTGTAGACTAGTTAGTGTTTCCTTTTGGCAATTTTTACCTTTCTTTGACAGCTTGCAGTGACATGCGGGGTGAGGTGGAACGGAATGGCAGTGAGAGATTGAATGGGAGGGTGTGCTCAGTCCGATCGCTGTCCATGGTCACAGAGGTATGAGAGACGGTGTCTGATGAGCAGAACATGCGGGATAACAGGGAACATAATGACAATCTACATCAACAGAGATATGAGACAGACAATATCGTGCAGGCAACATGCATCAGCAGCTCCGTTATATCAGCAAAGATATTCAAAACAAGGACAAGAGAAAGAGGAACATTTCTGGGGTATCTGCCATTGCTACAACATGAAAAATATATGATCTTCAAAATTGTATTACATTTGTTCAAATCAATATTTTTCTAAATAAAATACAAAAACCACTTGCATTATGTACTATATATAAACTCATATTTTTGAAGCCTATACCTTTCTCATGCGACATCGATATATATGTTTTAGACATGTGCGATTCGTTTCATCCCGAATAAAAATTTGGACGACTTTTCTGAAATTTGGTCATTCGGACACATCTGAATCCCAATGCATCCGATTCCGAATTTCCGTTTCCGAATTTTGGATTCCTGTCCGAATTTCGTTCCAAAAACAAAACTGAAATCGGACATGTGACTTTTCTGGCCAATCAGATGTGTTTTTACCCCCTTTCTAGGGGTAGTGGGACCCCATCTATGGGTCTATGGCCATGTGGTTGGAGGGAGTGACTAACACTTATATTAGAAATTATTTTATTGCAATCGGCTGTATGTTGGTGTTTTTTTATACACTCGATGTCCAGGAACACCTCCATCTGATAACTGCAGGTAAATGCTAATGAGCAACTCTAAAAACTTTCCTGGAAAATGTTACAAGAGAGATGTAACCGTCCTTCTATGCTGTATACCCTCAACATGAAAAGGTGTGTTGGTTAGATCTCATTCATAAGATAATGGTATTGGCAGCTATAGAGATTTCAGCCAGCAGGAAAGCCAACTGCATTGAATGTTTGCTCAGAAGGGTCACTCAATCACCAGCATCAGTTTAAGTGATAATTTCTTACACGTTGCTGGATCATAGATCTACATTCACTGATCCATTTCTAAAATCAAACCTAAATCAATGAGCAGCATTTACCTGGTTCTGGGTGCTCGTCCTCCAATGGGACGGAGAGCTCCCTCAGCCTTTCATCCTCAGATAGCGTCTGACTGTGCAGAGAGCCCGAGTCCTCGTCTGATTGGCTGTTCCTGCGACTGATCACCCGATAGATGCCGCAGTCCAACACGTTAAAGCTCTCCTGCAACACAACACACCAGAGATATGTCAGACATTGGTTGTGCAAAACAAAAAACAGTAGAAAGGCATCATGGCACACTCACAAACCAGCATGTAAAACAACTTATCTCACCACTAAAGGTTAATAACAGAGGTTTGGATACACGTCTTCTGCAGAGGATGTGAAAGCCGCACAGCCGCGCCAAGGCACCTCTTATAGTGCGGTCCTAACTCTAAACTTTGAGAGTCTCCATCTTGGAGCACATGGGGGCAGAAGATTTCAAATTGCGTGCAGGTTTGTCAGGAGAAAGCCCAACCTCCATAAAGGCACAGGAACACACAAGGGATCCCGCACATCCCAATGGCAGCTGAGAACCCCCATGCGTCGCTGCACCAAATCGGTCAAGCAAAACAAATGACAAACGCACTCAACAATTTGTCACCAGTTATACAGTTACCTTAAAATGGCCAATTGAGGAGAAAGAAAATAAATTAATCTGGTTGAGAGCTGGACAACTAGCCCTTGGTTGCTGAGAAATTACAAGTTCTAGAAGGAATAACCAAATGCTGAGGACTTACAGAGAGAGAAAAAGAGAAGGAGAGGGTTGGCACTCCATAGTCTGGTCTATCAGTGAACTCCAACAGCCCCCCTGAGATGGACAGTATAATTTCCATTAAGTAGTTTTTAGTATACTGGAGATCCCCCACTAAATGATTAGCAGACCCAAAAGACATCAAGCAAGCACTGGTGATAAATATCTCCAGGATCAGAGCGGGCACAGGACTCACATGGGAAGAGATACTGCTACGCCTGCTGCTACATGCAGAATCCATGGGCTCCATGCGGGACAGGACCTCTTCCATCTGTTTGACCAGATCTGCCTGAAGCACCAGGTCCAGCTGGGACTTCACATGCTCAAGCTTCTCTGCCGGCAACACCTTCCTTGCCTGAGAAGCAAACAGATACACCGGACATTTCAATTGGTTACTTATCAACAACAAAAAGAAATCGGGGTGGGGGAGCAAGGAAAAGGAAAAGGAGGGCAAGAGAAGGAAAAGGAGGGCAAGAGAAGGAAAAGGAGGGCATGGAAAAGAAAATTAAAAAAGGGAAGGAGATGAAAAGTAAAGGGAACGGGAGCAAGGGTGTGGTGGAGAGGGAAAGCAAAGGAGAGAGGGAGATGAAAAGTAAAAGGCATGGAGGGAAAGCACAGGGCAGAGAGAGAGAGGACAAGTGAGGAAGTGGAGAGAAGGAGGTGACAGAAAGAAGGGCAAAGGAAGTGAAAAGGACAGCATGGAAAGAGAAAGAAAAGGGAAGAAAAGGGGGGTGGTGGATGGAAAGCGAAAGGGGGGGGGGGAGAGAGAGGAGAGGGGGGGGGGGGGGGGGGGGGGTGGAAAATAAAATGCAGGGAGGGAACGCAAAGGGCAGAGATGGGATGAAAAAGTCAGGGAGGCAATAGGAAAGGCAGGAGAGAGGTGAAGCCAAGGGCATGGAGGGAGGGCAAGCAAGCAAGGGGAGAGAAAACTAGGGCAAAGGTAGGGGAAAGGACAGGGAAAACGTGCAAGGGAAGGAAGAGCAAGGGGCAAGGAGGGAGTACAAGCAAGGGGCAAACCATTCGGGCTCATGAACTGTGTGATGCAAACACAGATTCCAGATGAACACACAAGGATCCAAAAGGATTCATTAGTTTCATCTCTACATCCCAAATATTTGTATTTTTCTGACATTATTGAGGGCCGACCCTGGGTAATGGGACACAATCATTTGACTTTGCCATGGCTTGAGCTGGAGGGGATATCTCACAACTGAAGGTATATATGGAGCTTCCCCGCAGCCACCTAAAATGGAATAGTCCCTCTGTTTAGAAATGGTCAACTCACTTTGCCGGAAATTACAGCATTTTGAAAGAGATGACAGACTCTTGCTGCCAGACCCCACGAGCTCCGCTTTATAAGCCGTTCCACACATCGGTCCACCGATATCAGAGAGAGGTGGGCGATCTTCCCATCGACGTGCAGACAGAACAGTTCATTCTTGTACACACACATATCCTGGATGCCTGAAAGAGTAAGGAAAGCTGGGATCACCCTCCAATCATGTGACCAAAGCCACCGCCCCCACTTCCAAAACACGGACCTTTAACCTGACTCCAGAGCAGAACCTGGACGTTCTGAGGAAGAAACACATAGATCCCCCGGTCTGTCCATGTCACAACACTGTGATCGCTGCGGGGAGAAGGACATAAGAACATTGATGCAGACGAGGCTTCCCACCAAACACTGAGGCACAAGCATTGTTCCTTACCCGAAAAACAGAAGTTTCCCAAAAGCCAAAGACTGAGGAGGTCCAGGCGTCGGGTCATACTGGAGGTCCATCCTAGAGAATGAAAACTTTTTAGCACACTGGGACAAATAATACAGTGGACAGGAAAAGATTACAAAAACAGACCAAAAAGGTGCACAAAGCAGCCAATCAGATCTCTTTTGTTTTCCTGCTGAAATTAGGAACTGGTTTGTCATGGTGGGTGACAGTTCTGGTATTCCTTTGCTCAATGTCCCAATATGTGCAATATGCTTTGCTGTCCTAGAATGTTTGAGGGTCTAAATGGTACATAATGGAGAAAATGGACAATAAAGGGTCAGGCCACCTGAAGGTGAATGGTAAAATTGAAGTGTGATGGGCCTGGTAGGAGGATCCAGCCTATGGCTTCCTATATGTCTTCGGTGCTCCAACAGCAAAAGCTCCCTGCCATAATTCCTGACTCTATGCCAGTCCAACAGGGAGTTCCTGCCCACCTTTTACTTCCTCCATAACATAAAACATTCGACACATTCAGGAACTCAACCTAGGGAGGTGTGAAACCCTCATAATAGGCATGTCGGATGTATAGACCTTGGAAGTGTTTGGACGTTTAGAGCCCCTCATAATGGGCACAGCAGGTGTACAGACCTGGGAAATCAGCACAGGGATAATGGGCACAGGAGGAACACCTCATAATGGGCACAGGAGGTGTATAGTCCAAGGAACTAAGCACAGGAATGGTGGGAGCCCCTCAAATTGGGCACAGCAGGTGTACAGACCAGGGAACTCAGCACAAGGATGATGGGAACACCTCATAATGGGCACAGGAGGTGTATAGTCCCAGGAACTCAGCACAGGGATGGTGGGAGCCCCTCATAATGGGCACAGCAGGTGTACAGACCCAGAAACTCAGCACAGGGATGGTGGGGGCCCCTCATAATGGGCACAGCAGCTGTATAGTCCCAGGAATGCAGCACAGGGATGGTGGGAGCTCCTCATAATGGACACAGCAGGTATACAGACCCAGGAATATGACTTTTGGGTGGTGTGACCCTTTCATGAGCGGTAACATAAAATTAAATAAGACGAGAAGTGTGAGGAGCAGCAGAGTGCATCTTCTACGTACCGTGTGCTAATAATCGGCAGAGGTGGCGAAGACAAGAGCTGCTTGAACTGATGCGTACTCTGCACCTCACCCTCGAAGTTCACCTCCCACATCCTCGATCCGGGGCGAGCGCAGTATATTAGCGGTTGCTGACCTCCAGAGCTCCGCCCAGCCAGGAAGAAACAAGCACCGTACTCCCCATCTCTCTCCTTGTTGCCGATTTTCCAAAACTTCTCCCTTGATGGAGACCATAAACACAAGAGTTCTAGATCATTGAAAGCAGACCACACCATACCCTGTTTCCCCGAAAATAAGACCTACCCCTAAAATAAGACCTAGTACTATTTTTGATAATTGCTAAAATATAAGACCTTCCCCCAAAATAAGACCTAGTTGTGACCATTCCCAGGGCCGGTGGTGGCATAAGGGGGAATTTGAAGAGCCGCGGGAGAGAATCGGCGGTGCCAACAAAGCCAGAACTAGAGGAAACAAGGCGGCAGCGGAGGGAGCAGAGCCGCATAAGCCGATGCTTCCTCTATAGCGCCGGCTCCTGTCACAGGCGGAGTGATACCAAATGCACTCCGACTGTAAGGAATCGATAGTGAAAGCGCGCTTTGCTCATTCTGGCCATGGATTGGTTACCAAATTGCTCTTGGAAAGGTACGACACCCCTGATTACCCTGGTCACCCTATTCTTAACTTTGCCACTCACTCCTGTCTTGTAAGTCTTCTACTGGTAATAAGTGTGGTTTGTTGTACATAAAAAAAAAAAATAAGACCTACCCCGAAAATAACACCTAGTGCATATTTTTGAGCCAAAAAAAAATATAAGAGTGTCTTATTTTCGGGGAAACACGGTAGCGCTAGATTCTGACATTCCACAGCAAGGTGAGAGAGCAATGAGAAGTTTAAAGTTTGGACTAAGCCATCAGACAGATGAAATAATGAATTTTGATTGGTTGCCATTGATAACTGGACTTTGCACCTTGCTCTATCGCACTATATAAAGACAAGCAGTCCGGGATAGCGGTACCCACCTCTCCGTATCACACAGATAAGAGCGCGTCAGGGAGGAGATCAGAAGCCGACCATCTAAATAATCCAGCTGTACCACGCGGGAGTCCACGCTGGTGATGATCTGAACCGGGAACATCACAAAAGCTGCGGCAGCCTGGTCAGGGGAGAGGAAAGGACGGTGTTTATAGAGGATAGCGAAATAAAATTCCTATGCTCCTCAGCTCCAGCTAGTGGTAGTAATGGTGTGTAAGCGGCATTCACCCAGCTATACACTGGGTGAAAGTATTATAAATCAGCCCCTTGTGTTACTGTACACAGAAAGTTCACATTTTATTCTGTGATTGGTCCCATTTATAAAAGGCACAGAAACTACATTCCTAGTACAAAGCTTGGCAAAGAAATGTACTAGTGACATTTTTTTTTTTAATGCATGGCTTACCTTCCCTTGCTTGGAAGAGTTCAGCTTGATTGCTGACACTTTGCCCATGTGATCCCCGACAAAGGCCCGTAGTACCGCCGTGTCCCAGCAGAGGGCAGTCACCTTCCTGCCCTTGTGTTCGGAAGAAACGTAAATGCGCTCGGGCTTCCCGCGACGCTCCTGGTTTAGCTCCCACACCACCACAATCCCCTGGCTGCAAAGCAAAGACATCATTACCAGCAGAGGAAACTAACACTAACCAAATCTGACCTCCAACAGAACACATGCGAGTGCAATACAGGGCTGTCCCTATAAATGAGGGGCAGCATCTCATTGGGGGGGGTGGCCACAGTGTCAGCGGTTGCTGGTAGCTGATGCTCTGGCTTGCATCCCACCAAGCTCCCGGCAACTGGTGATGTAAGAGAGCTGAGCGGGACGCTGGACAGAGCCACTAATAGCACGGTCTGGCATCTGCCACCAACCCCCCACACGACAAATCAGCACAACAACCACACATCACCCCCACCTTTCCTCCCCGACCATTCCCTGCCAGCATGCCCCATGCCCACCAGACAGAAAAAAAAAATACCCTTGCAATGCACCCTTCCACCTCCCTCCCCCAGACGGCAAGGGTTAAATACTTATTAAGTCTAGGAGGTAGAGCAGGGGTAAGCAACTCCAGCCCTTCACCTGTTGCGGAACTACAAGTCCCATGAGGCATTGCAAGGCAGTTACAGTCATGACTCCCAGAGGCAGAGGAATGTTAGGACTTGTAGTTAAAGCACAGCTGGGGGGCCAGGGTTGCCCACCCCTCGGGTAGAGGAATAACCTGTAAAACTTCCCATAATCCCCCCCC